GTTTTCCTCGTGCTCCTCCTCAGAAGGTGAATAAATCAGAATGTCGTCCACGAAAACGACTACAAAACGAACTAAGAATTCCCGGAATATCCGGTTCATCAAATCCATAAACACTGCCGGTGCAATGCTGAGCCCAAAAGGCATCACCAAAAACTCATAGTGGCCATACCGCGTACGGAATGCCGTCTTTGGGATATCTTCCTCCCTGACCCTCAATGGTGGTAACCCGATCTCAAGTCTATCTTAGAGAAACAACGGGACCCCTTCAACTGGTCAAACAGATTATCTATATGGGGCATAGGGTATTTATTCTTAACCGTAGCCCGATTCAATTTTTGGTAATCGATACAAAGTTTCAAGGCACCATCTTTCTTCTTAGCAAAGAGGGCCGGTGCTCCCCACGGCGAAGTACTAGGTTTAGAAGTCCATCCCCTATCTCCTCCCAAACCGTGGAGTACATCCTATATCTCCTCCCACACAATACAATGTATATAAACAATTATCATATACACGATCAATCAATACACACATTCGACGTATTATTCCAACCGTCATATTAAATGACATGTTCAACCGATTAGTTTTAATTCACCTAATCATCATGCAATGTCTACAACATTAAAAACTATCCTCCACCGATCATCTGATTTTTTTCTAAAAACATATGAACTCACAATGAAATAAAGAGAGAAGTATCATAAAAGAAGAGATGAGCTGCACGTATTAAAGATAAGTAATTAAATAATTGACTAACATCTTTAATAGGTTTGAAAAAATAAATTAAAAATAATATTTTCTTTTTATAGTTTTGAACAACTATTATATGCCTTTGAAGTAATGCTTTGCACCAACTGTCAATTAACACATATTATGATATCAAAAATATTAAAAGTAATTTTTTTTAATAAAAAAGTAATGCTATACAAACATAAAATCAATACAAAAAACTTATGGATAATGATTTTGTTTGGATTTTGATCCATCACTTTGTAATGAGTGACATGTTTTTTATTATACAATTGATCATATCACGCCATTTTAGTATAAAAATTCTAGTAAAACAATATTAACTAACAAAAAATAGTTATAAACAAAAAAAAGGGAATGGTTGGTAGAGAGGAGGAGAAATGATACAAAAATATAAAATACAAAAACGAAAAATGGTCATAGATAAAAAAAGAAAAAAGAAAAAATGGTGTACTTACTAAAGGATGAAAGAGTTTGTTTAAAGAATACAATAAACTAAATATAAATTAACCTCCAAATTGTCTCATAAAGAAAGTTAAAAAATAATGAGTTTCATCGTTCCATGAATATAATATTTATAGGGCGATGAAGACATGAATGGCTTGGAAAAAGTATAATATATGATGGTTAGAGTTTTTAGGTAAGAAAAAGAATTGGTCAGATAAATAGTGCACAAGTATAGTTTTTTTCATCTTTTCTTTTCTAAATTATAAATCATGGAATCATTATAAAATATAATAAATTATGAGATTCAAAAAAATAAATAAATTATATATAGTACAAATATGCTTAAATTTATTTGGGAATAAAATTGTGTTTAATTATGGAATAGAGAGAGAATCTAAATAAAAGGTCTATTTTTTATTTTATATTAGGCTTAATTTTAGGTTACTATAGATCAGACTAGTTGTGAAAGATATTAATAGTATACATTTTATAAGAGGCGAAAGAGTTTCTTTTTAATTAGATTTATTTTAGGAGAGAGACGATTGTATGAGATTTATATTCTTTTTAAATAAAGACTTGATTTATTTTGAGAGGGAGAGGAGGTCGAGAATTGTGTACTTTTTCTTTCTTTCTTTCTTTCTTGTGGGTATTGACCGGCAATATACTTGCATTAAATAATTTTGAAGGTTAATATTTATCTCCTTAGAATAGCCAATAGATGTTTTAATTTTTTTTTATAAAAATCAAAAATTCAAAAAATTGAATTTAAGGTTTTGAAACGCTTAGAGCCTTTAAGATGAAAAGTTAGTTTGGTATAATATATAGTATAGATCGATAGATTATGAGATTTAGGAAATAGATAAATATTAGGGAAGAGATTTTAGGAACATGTAATTCAAATTTTTTTTTTTTAATCTATAGTTACTTTGTTAGCCAATTTTATTACTTTTAAATATTTTTAAAATTACAAAAATTAACAATTTTAGGTTGTTATTTTTTTTTAATAATCTATATACTTACTTTGTTAGCCAATAGTACTATTTTTAAATATTTTTAAAATTACACAAATTAGCAATTGTCATTTTACGTTCTTTTTAATCTATAACTTTTTTTTTAAATATATAATTACTTTATTATGAGATGAGATTTATGTTGTTTTGTTTTTTTAATGTATAATTACTTTGTTATGAGATAAGATTTAGGAAAGAAATAAATATTAGGGGAGAGATTTTAGGAACTTGTAATTCAAAATTTTAGGTCATTTTTTGTTTTTTTTTTTCTTTAATATATATCATAGCGATCCTGGTTTTCCCTTTTGTGTTTATTGTAGCCTGGACTCGGTTCCGTGGATGTGTGTTGTGTCTTTATCGCATCTCTATCCTTAAATTCTTTGTACTTGAGTTCGGGATGTGTTGGGCAGGTTTGAAACAGGTTGGTTGTATTTAGAAACCAAGAGTTGATGCCCAGATTTTGGCCTTCACGCTCGAGCGGCAATTTTGACACTCGAGCGGGCCCTTTTGTTATTGCTCCTCCGCTCGAGCGGGAATTTTGACACTCGAGCGTGATTATTCAACCCTCAATACTTTTCTCTGCAGGTCATCGGACGCTCGAGCGTCCACTTTCACGCTCGAGCAGGGACCCTCGTCTGCAGAACTTCTGGAAGTGTGCATTCGACGTTCGAGCGGCGATTTTCACGCTCGAGCATGAGTCTATGTCTGACGCTCGAGCGGGGCGTTCCACACTCGAGCGGACTGTGTATTATATCAATCCGTGGGAAGCCATTTTTGAACCACTTTTTGACTCTCTCTCTCTCTCTTTAGCTTTCCAAAACCCTATTTTGAGAGCTCCTCTCTCTAGAACTCTCCATCTCTCTCTCTCTCTACATTTTGATCTTGGTTTAGTGATCTTTCACCCTTGTCCCTTTGTAAAAAGTGTAGAGCTTGGTGTGGGCTACGTTTTGATCTGAAGATTTGTGGGTTTGGAGCACCTTCAAATTTGTTCATCATCTCCTTTGGGTCTCTTCATTTGAGGTAGGGATTACTACTCATATTTATGATCTTTGACATAAACTTGTGGTCATTTTGATTTAATGTTGAGTTGGGAAATGTTGGGTGTTATGGTTTCAAAATGTATAAAGAGGGGTTTTGTTCTTTTGACCTATATATGTATATTTTGGGTCTTGAAATGAGGTTCTTGATGTTTATGGGTGATATTTGAGCCTTTGGGTCAATGTTGAGGAAATAGGGAGAAAAACCCTACTTTATTGTGATAAATTAATTTGGGAAAGTTATAGAAATATGAAATTGATTTGGAAATAATGAAATTGAGTACGCATGAGATTTAATGGTGGAGTTGGATTGATCAATCACTCACCTTTGAAATTATAGATAATTTATCTATTTGATAATTTATTATGTGCTTAGAAATAATTATTTTGGGCTATCGGGGGAGGATAGTCTTGATTGTTGTAGACACTGCATGATAATTAGGTGAATTAAAACTAATCAAATTGAATATGTCATTGAATATGACGGATGGGATAACACATTGAATATGTGCTTGACTTGATCATTGTATATAATAAGTGTTTAAATACATTGTATATGTATATTGTTTGGGAGGAGATAGGGGATGCACTCCACGATTTGAGAGGAGATAGGAGATGTACTCTCAAACCTGTTTGGGAGGAGATAGGAGATGGACTCCATTGATAACTAAGTTGGCCGGAGTGTCCAGGATGAAAGTCCCGAAATTCTAATTGCGTTTGCATAACGTAGATGAATTGAAGTATTGTTAATATGAGTTGTAGGCTCATTATGAACTGTATGGCTGAATAGGGAACCACATCTATGAATTGGTTTGGATAATGAAATGGAAAGAGATGTATGTTTTTTTATATGAGTTAAACATTTATCAAATGCCAATGTTTTAGTTATTGCTCATATTATGTTTAGGATATCTCTACTGGGCGTTGGCTCACCCTATATGAGACATCATTTTTAGGTTCAGGTGGTATGCCGCCTCCAAGACCTTAGCTTGGATGGTTTTGGGAGTTGAAGATTCTTTTGGCTGTTTCATTATTTTGGTGATACATGTAAATTAAAGCCAAGGGCTTATTTGTGTAGAGAGTTAGAACTCTTCTTTTGTTATAACCAAGTGTTGAATAAGTTGATTTTTTAATCAACCTACACAAACTTTTGACTTCCAACAGTTTTTTCTTTTTTATTTTTTTTTTCCGCAAAAAAAAAAAAATTTACTTATTTAAAAATTACCAAACAAGACCTAAAACTTGATCATCAAATTTTAGATATTATCTGTTGTAGCAATGATTACATTGTTTTGATGGGCTCCAACCATTTTTTATACCATTCATTACTTTTATATCAAAATACTATCCAAACTTTGGTGCTCAAATTAATGGCATAATTCACATAAACAAGAAAGAAAAAAAAAATCCCCTCAAATTTTGAAATCACTAGAGATTTATTTGATCATTAATTTTAAAATTAATCGAAATACACGTAAACTAAACTGAATATTCAGTTATAAAAAAAAAAAAATTCAAAAACTAATTGATTAAATTCGTTCAATAATATGTTGTATCACTCTTAAACAAAATAATAATATAAAAATGATTGGGTAACTTGAATTTGAATTTGTCCGAATTTTTACGTATCAATCGACCGTCCAGACAAACAGTTAGATGATCGGCAAGTTAAAATTCAAATGAGTCAGACGAGTTAAAATTTGAACAATTAATTTTCATCATCAAAATTCTAACAATAATTTTAGATGAAAACCATATGGTAAAACCCGCCACCAATTGTTCTACTAATAATCATTTCCATTTCCCAAAGAAATCATTCAAGCATAGCCTGAATGAAAATCACACAAGCATCACAGTAAACACACACAAGATAAAGAAACAGAGGTATCTCACAATTCCGAGACTCACATTTAGCCATCCATCCAGAATCTTTAATACTAATAATAATATCAACAACAACTATTAAATTCAAATAATGAATCAATCAAGCAGGTGTTGAGTTGTCCACAACAACAGGCGATGTCCAGACGATGTCTTTGAGTGCAGGCCGAAGCTCTTTGGTGCAGAACTGGTTGTACTCGAAGGTGTCGCCGCTTGACTTCTTCACTTCCACCACCAGCAACGACGGCGTCACGGCACATATCTCCGCCGCAATCGCCAACTTCCCTTTCCTTCCACTCTCCTCCCCTAACATCCTCAAACTGCCCTCTCCGCTCTTCATCACGCTGAACTTCCCCTCCGCCTTCGCTGCCACCTCCTCCAGCCTCGATATCACGCTGCTCGCCGTTCTCGTCGTTGCGAACCTTATCTCCTTCTCCTCCCTCTTCTTCTCCTCGAACAACGGCGACAAATCGAACCCTTCCGACAACGAAATTATATGAAACGCGTTCAGCGTCTCCGTCTCCTTCATGTTCCAATTATCTTCATCTTCTTTAACTATCAAAGATCTTGGAATCGTCTTCTTGAACCAAGACGATTCCACAATCTTCGAGATCGTGATACGAGTGCTCGGATTCGGATCAAGCAATTTCGTTATCAATCTCCTGGACTCCGATGAGAACCACGGCGGACACTTGAAATCTCCCTTGTAAATCTTTCGATACATCACCATAATGTTTTCATCCTGAAAAGGCAAGAATCCAGCTAAAAGCACGTACAGAATGACTCCGCAGGACCAAATATCCGCCTTAGCACCGTCGTAGCCCTTTTTTCCGATCACCTCCGGCGCCACATACGCCGGAGTTCCACACGACGTGTGGAGAAGCCCGTCCTGTCTCAAATGCTCGGCAAAAGCAGAGAGACCGAAGTCAGTCACCTTCAGATTTCCATCGTGATCCAACAAAAGGTTTTCAGGCTTGAGATCGCGGTGATAAACACCGCGACTATGGCAGAAATCAACGGCGGAGATCAGTTGCTGGAAATAGTGTCTCGCTACGTCTTCTCTGAGGCGTCCTTTGGCGATCTTGGAGAAGAGTTCACCGCCGCGAACGAGCTCCATGGCGAAGTAGATCTTGGACTTGTTAGCCATGACTTCGTGAAGCTCGACGATGTTGGGATGTTTCACCATCTTCATCACAGAGATCTCACGCTTCACTTGCTCTATCATCCCAACTTTGATAACCTTCTCCTTCCCAACAACCTTCATCGCCACGCTCTTTCCAGACTGTATATTACGAGCGTGGTACACCTTCGCGAACGATCCGTGGCCTAAAAACCGCCCCAGCTCGTACTTTCCGTGCAGGACGCTGTGGCCGTGACACTTCTCATTATCCTTATCCGTCATGATATTGTAGCTAAATTGTAAATTAAGCGAAAATTTTACTGAATTTGAAAATGGGTGGTGATTGATTGGATTCACCCGTCTTCGACGTGTTTCCGGTGACAATTCCGATCGTCGCCGGTTTTCGTGGGCCTTCCGCCGCCGGAGTCAGGCTTAGAAAACGAAGCAATCCTCATCTCTCTGCATTCTCTAAAGGGCTTCTGAACAATTTTTTTAAGGGGTTTGAGAGCTTGTTATATAGACTGTTTCAGGTGTGAATTTACGTTTTTGTGCTTGGGTATTGGGTGAAGATCGGACGGCTGTGGTGAATCTAGTTTTGGACGCGTGTTGTGATCTTCACGGGACGTATCTCAATTATTTGGAGCTTATATGCATGATTGGTGGGGACTCGTTGAGGGGTCACGTTGTTTGGATTATTATTGCATGCTTGTCAGACCTGGTGGCACTTTCTCGAATCTCAAATACTCCACAAATGTTTTTCGGACAAGGGCACAGCTTCTCTCCAGTCCAAATCTGGACTGGACGGTGCTGTCCGGCCTTTGGGGCCCACTACGGGTCGTGTTAGATAATCTAAAACGTTTCAATGTGTAGAACTCGTCGAGTACTATATGTCTGTAAAAAATCACGTTGATCGGATATCAATAGCTACATTATTTAAAACTGTTTCAAAATACATGAAATCAAATTGTTTAAAAATGAATGACAGTAATTTTTAAGATTATTAATAATCGGAATATGAAAATATAAAATCAATAAAACTCATAACATGGTTTAGTAGAGGCTGATATTTTGATCAGGTGAGCGAGGGTGCTTAATTAATGGCCTTCTCCTCTCATATCTAAGGTTTCAAATTGAGACATTTTTAGTTATGATGAACAGTGGCCTTGGCACGAGTCACAGGTTTCCTAGTTTTCCCAAAAGATTAGGTGGCGACTCTGAGATCTAGTGTTACAGTCCATTTTTGGCAAAAGGTTTTGTAATAAAATGGATTTTCTATAAAAGTTGTCGGATTTGGACCCTTATCTATGTTTCACATTGCACTTGCGAAAACTAGATCAAAGAAATCGAGAGTCTAAACTATTTAGAACGCTCAGGTACCCCAGGCATGACACGGATTTATGAATAAATGACCCAATAATTTATGTTACGTACTTGACCCGTCTAATTATGTCCCTATTTATTTATTTTAATATGAATTAGGCCCCGGACAACAATTTGCCAAGCTTTCGGCCCATTATGAAAATTTATATTACGTACTTGACCCATTTAATTAGTTATCTATTTATATAATTCAAGCTCTGAATTTTTTTTATAATTGTTCCTATATTTTAATTTGAATGAGTTTCCTATTGCTAATCATGTGAACACCTCTCCTGTACATTGCCAGCGACTCAAAGAATAAATTTGACATTGTCCAAACAAGTCTAAAGAAATAAAACTTGACATAGTGCAAAAAAAGTTTAAAGAAATAAAACCCATATGTTAGTCCGAACAAATCCAACGAAAATGGTCCAAACAAGTCTAAAGAATTTTCACTACTACTAAGCCAAACTATAATATAGAATCCACTACTACTAAGCCAAACTATTCTCTCTCTCTAAAAACCTCCTCCCCAGGCCTCATTTTCGGCCAGCCGGCCGCCGCCTTTGCCTATGGCGGTCAGTTGGCCTAGCTCTTTCCGGCGTTTGTTTGTTAGTTTTCCCTTTAATAATCTTGATTCCCCCATTATTTTTCCACCTAGGTGTGATTTGTGTGCTACTATAGATATTATTTTTTTGGTGCTTCGGGGCCCGTTATAGCTGATTCATTGGGGCAGTGGTGTGTTGTTTTCATCAGGGGATGCCTAGAACAAAGGTCATTATAGAGGAGGTGATTGGTGTTGGATCGGCATAAAGGACGTCCAGGATCTTCATTCGAGCGCTCTTTTGCGAGTAGGAACTTCAGGGGTGAACTCTGGTTCAGATTTGTGGAGAAACATCGATGCTTTGTTTGGGGGGAAACATGGGTGTTGAAGTCGATTCAGATCTGTCTGGTTTTCATTCGAGCGCTCCTCTTCGAGTGAGAGTTTGAGGGGTGAACTTCTTCCAAATGTATGGAAGTGTCCCAGCGGTTGGTCGGTGTTTGGATCGTGTGGGCATTGGGAGTGCAGCAGCATAGGTGAATAAGTTGTGTTCAGGTGGGTGGTTGGTCGGTGTTTGGTTGGTGTTTGGATCTGTAGTGGGTGTGTTCGGAAGAATAAGGTATGTTCAGGTGTTTGCATAGAAGTTGGCCCTTAGGTATTGTCCTTAGATGTGGAGTTTTCTGGTGTTGGCTATGGAGTTTTCTCGGTCAGATCAGCAGTGTAGGCGTGGTGTGGGCATTGGGAGTGCAGCAGCATAGGCGTGGGTCTCGGCAGTGGTGGCGTGGGTTGTTGAAAAGATTTTAGTTTGGGTGATGTAGGCACTGGGAGTGCAGCAACATGGATGATTAAAATAACAATTATGCTACGTAGCTCGAATCCTTTCTTCCCCCGAATCCCCCAAACTCAAAACGACGTTGTTTCGTCGTTTTGACTTTTTTTTTTCCCCCAATAACGCAGAAGAAGAAAGAAGAAGGAGGAGGAAGAGGAGAGTAGCACAGAGAGAGAAAGAGAGAGAGAGAGAGAGAGAGAGAGAGAGAGAGAGAGAGAAAATCATCATCAACAACATCATCATCATCATCTTCAGATCTTCATCAACATCATCATCAACAACCATTCAACCATTCATCTTCTACAACAACATCTTCAACCATTCAACCATTCAACATCTGCAACAACATCTTCAGATCTTCATCAACATCTTCATCAACATCACCATCATCATCATTAACACATTTTTAGAAAAAAAAAATCGGGCGATCTGCGATCGATTGACGAAGGCGGAGGCGGAGGAGGCAGACGTGGAGGAGGCGGCGACGGCGATCAGCGATCGACCCTCTCTCTCTCTCTATTCCCTCTTCCCCTCTCTTCTCTTTCTCTCCTCTTTCTTTTCCCTCTCTTTTTCTCTCTTCTCTCCTTCTTTCTCTTTCTCTCCCTCTATTTCAGGCTGCATAAGGAGAAAAAAAAAAGAAAAAAAAAAGAAGAAACTGCCCAAAACGACGTCATTTTGGGCAGTCAGGGGATTCAGGGGGACAAAATTCGGGGGGAAAATCATTTTCCTTAAAATTATTGGGTTGAATAGAGGAGTACAGTAGCTTGGGTGTTGGAAAAGAACACGACTATCCTCCACCGATAGCCCAAAACAGTTATTTCTAGACTGGAAATAAATATATCAACAATTCAATAGGCGAGTGATTTAAATAAATATATATACCAACTACACCATTTAATCAATGAATTCCTCAATTTCATGCTTTTAACCAATTTCCCCAATTTCCTTAAATTAATTATACAAATTAATTTATTAATACACCTAGGGTTTTTCCCAAAATTATCAAAATGTTCCCAATATATCAAAATACCAAATCTTAGAACAAAACTTATAAGATGGAGTAGGAAATCCCTACCTTGAAGTGGGGAACTCAAATGGAGATGATGACCAAAGACCAACGTGCTCCAAATCCCAAGTTTCTCAGATTAAAACGAAGCCCTCAACCCACTCTAACTTTTTAATAAAGGACCAAGGTTAGATACTCACCCTAGGTAGATCAATTCTTAGAGAGAAGACAAGTTTAGAGAGAGAGAGAGAGAGAGAGAGAGAGAGAGAGAGAGAGAGAGACTCTCAAGGGGCGGTTTATAAAAGTTAAGAAAGGAAAAGTAGGTCAAAAAGTGATCCAAAAAGTGAAATCACGGACTGATGTAGTCGACTCCTCGCTCGAGCGTGAAACACCCCGCTCGAGTGTCAGATACAGACTCACGCTCGAGCGTGAAAAGAGCCGCTCGAGCGTCGATTGCACACTTCCAGAAGTTTTGCAGGCGATGGTGTCCGCTCGAGCGTGAAACTCTCCGCTCGAGCGTAGGGACAAAATCAAGGGATCACGCTCGAGCGTAAAAATATACCGCTCGAGCGGACGAACTGCAGAGTAAAGTACTGGGAGATGGAAAACCACGCTCGAGCGTCAAAACCCCCGCTCGAGCGGAGAAGCAACAACGAAGAGCCCGCTCGAGCGTTAAAAGTTACGCTCGAGCGTGAAGGCCAAAATCTGGGCATCACCTTTTGGTTTCAAAGTGCAACCAACCTGTTTTAAACCTGCCCATTACAACCCAAGACTCAAACACAAGGAGTAAAAACTAGAAGTGATAATGATACAAAAACAAGTCCACGGAACTAAGTCCAGAATACAGTATACAAAGGAAGGAAAAGCCGGGATCGCTATAATCTCTCTATCACATCATTTCAAACCCAACTCATACCTAACTCATATTTCATAAAAAGTCAAAAAGTATATTTATTTAGATCATCCTAAACAATCCTTAAATGTGCTAGTGAGAACATTAGGGCTTGTTTATTTTGTATCTCAAGATACAATTTTTTCAAAAAATTTTCAATTTTTTTGAATTTTTTTTTACAAAATCACTTTCTTTCTCCTATACATCAATCAATCACTTTTTTTTTTCTCTCATCTCTCATTTTCAATCATTTTTTTTTCTCTCACACACATCTACTCAACTACAACAAAATATTAAATCATCCCAAATTCTCAAACTCCAAAACTATTTTCAAAATATACATCCAAACAAATAAAAAAAAAAATTCTAAACTCTCTCTCCAATTTTATTTTATTTTTTTGAAAATTTATCTCAAAATACAAATTAAACTATATAATGAAAATTGTTAAGATGTTAATTAAAATAAAATAAAATAAAAATATAATTAAAGATTGATCTAAAATATAAAATAAAATTAAGAATTGATTTAACAAATAAAATATAATTAAGTATTTTAAAAATTAATTAAATTAAAACATAAAATAAACAATAATTAAAGATTGGTTTAAAATATAATTAGATTAAAAGGTTATAAATTACAAATAATAATTAAAATAGACCATTCATTTTTAATATATACACAAGTGTGCATATATATATATATATATATATTTATTTATATTTATATTCATATAAATCTGTTATCTTCTTCATAAATGTATATATTAGTAAACTATGCCCATGCAAGGCACGACCTATTTATACAAAATATTTGAATTTTATGTAAATTAAAAATATATTTCTTAAGATTTGTTTAAAAAATAG